CAAAATTTAACCGATTCCCATAAGATTATTGATTCATTGATAGTACGTGGTAAGTTAACGTTTCCGGTGTATCCGGATACCGTACCTCAGGGTCTATCAACCTTGCGCCCGCGCAGTACCGTCCGTTAGGCGATACTGGGAGGACATTAGACACTTCGCGTGCGCGCAAATAGCAGGCCTACCCACAAGGCGCGCGCTATGCCAGCACTCACAGCTCCTAAAAGCCAAAATGCGGTAGATTCCAAGATTTCAAAAAAAAAATAATATATTGTGCATAAAACGAATAGGACAAAAAGATTTTATCATAAGCATGCGGACTATAGCTGAGCATTACTAAGGTCATCCCATATCTCATGATCCATACGTCAATTATGATATAAGAGGAAAAAGATCACTAAGTAGTGTGAATGTGGGTCGAGTGAATGTCTCAGTACGCCAGTAATGAGCAATATTTGTAACGGAAGCTGATATTGGATCTAATGTAAAACTGTATGGATAAGTGACAAAAAAGTTAAGTTACGCGCACAAACCAAGCTGTCACGCCGTTAAGCCTTAGTGCATTGAGAAGTTATTCTTGGTGTTAAGACCTACACGAGGGAATCGACGAGAACCAGTGGTTGTCTGTTATTGGTATTCCAAAATAGAAGTATGTGGCGCTACCTCCCCGTAAGTTCTAGAGGACCTCGAGAGGACAGTGCCAGTGTCCCCAGGGTAACTGCCGGAGCGTACCCTTTTGGTACATATGCAGATATCCGGACGCCGTACCTCGTAGGGGTGTAAGATATAACCGGTATATCGGTACTAGTTGCAAATATATTTGGAAACTCGATATATCGGGCGATACAACTTAGTTCGGATATCGATATTTTACGATCGGTGGTATAACAAAGAATACAAATTACTTGAGCACATTGGCTTTATGTCTATATTGTTAATGGGCAGTCGAAAAATTATGCAACTGGCGTGTATATATTACGAAGAGCACAGATGTCTGCAGCGACGCATACAGTATTATCTCGGTAAGGCGACCACCTGCATGGAGCAGCGTAAATGCGCGGGCAGAGTGGGGCAGGGACGTGTGCGCGAGGCCAGAGCAGCGGCAACTGGGAGTTTATGTATATAGCTATGCTGCACCTGAGTGCCCAGGCGCGCACGATACAAGCCTGAAGCAAGCACCCACTGGTTCCAGTTTCAGTTTCAAGTATCCAGTAATTAGCCCTAATTATGCACTAGGGGTATTCTGATATTACCAGCTACATCAGTGGCCTCCGGAGAGGTATAGTAACAGCGGGTGACATTGTTTACGGCACAGAGTAGGCTGCACTGTCAGCGGAAAACGATTGCGTGCTTTCTGCTTTCTCAGAAAAACATGAGAATTAAATTCATTGTCTATGATAATATCAATTATATGATGAGTATTAAATACGCATCAATTGTTACTATATCATCGCATGGTATATATAGCTATGAGCGCCAGTGGCAGCGGCACCGCCAGTGCCACCCGGGGCCCCACTGCGTGGCTTGCAATTCTGCGAATGCAAAATCAGCCGGCATATATTATACAATTATATGAACTCTCCATTCTCCATGCAGTGTTTGATTTTTGCACAAAAACAAAATTACAACAGAGTATTAAACTATTCAAACAGTGAGATGGAAAAATAAACGTACACATGGAATGCAGGAAAACGCTAACATCGTTAGGAAGATCTGCCGACGCCATTCTGAATTTCTAATGCTGCTCAGCGCCATCTATTGACTCGTTTTATAATGAACAGCTGATTGAACGAAAATGTCAGCGCTTCAAATGAAAATGTTACGAAGTCGTCTACCACCGATGCCTCCTCCTGGAGTCGGGTAATTACGAAACTTTAACTGGGTACTTTGTCATTGTCATGGTATCATAGCAGCTTTCTAGCGATTAGTAGATCTATCAGTAGTAGGTAGTGTTAACTTACTCATTCAATCAAGCTGCGCTTGAATTCCCATGGCTATACAGTATACAGTATAGGCCCCTACGTCAAAGACACAAACAGAAACTCGCAGCAGGGCCTGCATACCTCCCAAATCCCATTGGTTGATACAAATCACGTGCCTGAAACTCCTGTTTTAATAAAACTTTTATGGTGCATTGTGACCCTAACCCTAACCCTAATCCTAACCCTAACCCTAACGTACACTAATTACAATTTAATTTACAAAATTAACTATCTTTGTGGTTCAATGATAGAGATGATGTCCAGTACGGTTATTGGATAGGGTGATGTTAGTTGATAAGATAGGACTGGACATCAACCAATGGGAGTTGGGAGGTATGCAGGCTCTAGCCGCGAGTCAAACAGATCATGCGTCTAAACAGAGGAATTGCTCCGACCTGTGATTGGAAGATAAAAATAGAATTCGTGACGTTTCGTTTTACTGGCCATAGTCGCACGTGTATATCACAGGCACTTGGAACATCTCAATAAAAAAAAAAAATGTAAACACGAAATGTATTTACTACCAAAGTCTTCATGTTTCTCTACTCTATTTTGCCTATTATTGCCAATAATTACCCGTAAATGCCGGTCAAATGCTCATCTGCAACACACAGGTACACCGCATGCACACCCTGTGCACAAACAACATGAATAAGAGAGTTGTGTGTTGCAGATGAGCATTTGAGTTATTTTATTGAGACGTTCCAAGTGCCTGTGCTATGAGCGATACCGCGCATGCATCTTTGCTAATTAATTATACTAATCGTGCTTCAAATTCAATAAACTCAAAATTCACAGAGATTATATTTAAATAGCTAAGTAATAAGAGTAAGATGTGTCTATAATTTAGCTAGAATTTCTAGAAATGTAACTGAAATTGTTTGCGCCATATGATAGTTATTACACTTTCCTACCGGCCATATCCGCGCGTGTATTAATTAATTAGCCTATGAGCGATACCACACGTGCATATTTTCTAATTAATTAGACTAATCCTGCTTCAATAAACTCAAAATTCACAGAGATTATAGTTAAGACATGTATCTATAATAGCTAGAATTTATAGAAATGTAACTCAAATCGTTCGCGCCATATGATAGTTAGAACACTTTCCTACCTGTCAGCGTAATAGCGTATGCGACGGGGTAAGCGAAATGAAAACGAGTCGTCACGAATTCTATTTTTATCTTCCAATCACAGGTCGGTGCAATTCCTCTGTTTAGATGCACGTCAAACAGAGCCTGACTGTTTCAATAATTAAATGTTCAAGGCAAATAAACAGGACTTGTATTTGCCATCGAATCCCTAATGTCTGTATATACTCTCTAATGCCTATAATAATTCCAATTAAATGCTATTTAAATGTAAGACACAATCCACACACACCACTGTGCAAAATCTTAATCACAGTCATAGATAGGTAGAAAATCAAGAGTGCCAAGTCTAGATAACGCTCGCATTATTTCACACCATCACAGAACAAATAAACATCCATTCGCCTCCATGTTGGTATCAGTGCGTAGCCAACTGTTCACTTATTAAAGTTTAAAACACAATTGGACGCACTAACCAATGTACCACCAAGCTCTCTCAGATAGGCTAAAAATTTGCCGGATGGTCGCGCTATCCTTAGATTCATTGTTGTGTTCTCGTCTCAGAGGATCAGCTAGCAATAAGCGGGCGCTTGCAAGAAAGCGCGACTACACACCCGTGTCATGGCAGCAGTACTTTGCACGGCGGAAAGACGTGAAGGTGTCCGGCGGCAGACGCTTCCGGGTGTACGAGAGTGGGACGAGCGGACCTGTGCTCCTCCTCCTGCACGGCGGTGGATTCTCTGCTCTCTCCTGGGCTGTGTTTTCCGTATGTGTGATGGGTATAATTATTGCTGGGAATAAATCTTTTCATTGTTCGGTTTTTGCTGTTTGTTCCTGGATCTTTGGAGACAACGCCTGGCTGTTTTCCAGGCAGTCTGATTGGCGATTTTGCATGCAGTGTACTGGCAGGAATTATATTGTCATAATGCAATGACATGTGTATATGACATGGTTACATCTCAGAGATTTCATATGTAAGAATAGAATAAGATGAAAGTGACTATGTTCTCTACAGTCAGTGATTCATAATATGAGTTGTTATGTGAATGCTTTTATGTCAATTAGTGTTCTTCTTATGCAGAAAATAATTACCAGCATGGTAACATGTCAAGTGCTGGCATTTGACATGAGAGGACACGGGGACACTGTCAGCAAAGATGACGGTGACCTATCAGCAGAGACCTTGTCCAAGTAAGTTTACACACTCTGTGATACCTAGATGCTTGTATGGTTTGCAACTCCTGATCTGGATTGTAACTCTAAACTCGGTTTGTCAGAAGTTGGCCATTTTTAATACAGTACACAATCTATTACCTGAAACCTTTGGAGTACTAAAACTCAAGTTTTCAAGAGGCCAAGTGCTGTACCAGTACATTCAATATGTATGAGTAATGCCAAACACATTAATATTTCTGCAGTGAACCTTTGGTGCCAAACGTGAGCTTTGGTGTCCAGACGACCTCCACGAAAAAACTCGGTTTTTCGTCTTTCAGAATTTCGGATAGTAGATTGTGTACTGTAATTGAAATTGCCTTTTGATAAGTTTTAGAATATCATTGATGATACATTTGTCTTAAATTTGGTTAGGAACATGAATGATTAGATGGGAGCTATAAACTTTTCAATTTGAAGACCGCATGTATAGTACCGTTTAGCGTGTGAAACCATTTCTACTCCAATGTGTTTAGGGGTAAATGTAACGTGGGCTTTCTATGATTACAATTTACAGTGATATTGAGGATCTACTACAGGAGCTGTACAATGACAATCTTCCTCCAATCATATTGATTGGGCACAGGTGAGATTAAACCGTCGTTTAACAAGATATATTCTGTGCATAATTAAATTATTATTAGACTAGTGAAGGTTGTCTCATATTAGTAGTCAGATGAGAAAACTTTGTTCATCCTGGTTAAACATGCCAGGGGAAACATGTACGTAAGCAGTATTGATGATCGTTGCGATTTCTAGTGCGTATGCAGGGCATGAAAATTTGCATTAGTTATTTTTGCACTAGCACAGTTGGCTGGTAACTGTTGGGACCTGATATAATTATAACATTGAATACTGAAACCTGATTCAGAGGGCCACTGTGTTGCTAAAGGCTCCAGCCCTCCAAATGATTTTCCGGTCTGTTCGGTTGAGCCAGTGATTATATATCGAGCTCTGCGTATGTGGACTGGTGACAGTACAGTTTGTGTGTTTCAGTATGGGTGGAGCAGTGGCGGTCCACACAGCTTACAGGAGACTTATACCCTCTCTAGTTGGCCTGATAGTTATTGATGTTGTGGAAGGTATGTGAATGATAATTTGACACGACATGGTAAATAATAGTAATGATATATTGTGATGGGAATCGGCAGGAATTTCATAATTGATTATTATGAGTTGCATCGAACCGATCGATTATCGGTTATAGTCGGATAATCGGTTAATTGTCATGCTTAAAAGATATTGTCAGCATTGTTGCAGTTATATTCTGCTAACTTCGACGACCAAGTATTTGTTTTCATAATCGGTTGTTTAATCTGTGGCTGCAAACGATCCACTTTCGATGTGGATTAATCATCGAGAAATTGCTAATACGTCATAAATAATTATATATATATATATATTAGGGGAAAAATAGGAAAAATCAGGGAAAATCAGGAAAAATCAGGGAAAAAATAGGAAAAATCAGGAAAAATCAGGGGGAAAAACTTTTTTTTACGGGAGTTCTTTTTCAAAAGTCTGTGGAAAAATAGCTCTCGTCAAAATTTTTACGGGAGCTATTTTGAGCCTCACGGGAGTGATTTCGGAGGTTTGAAGAGCGAATCGCTCATCGCTCCTGTGTATTATTTACCCTGATATATATATATATACATATGAAGAAATATACAAGTTGAGGATGGCCTGCGTCGGTGGTGCTAACGTTGTTGTGCATACAGGAACAGCTCTCGATGCGCTACAAGGCATGCAGAGCTTCCTGCGCGGCCGTCCAACTTCCTTCCGTTCTCCCGAGCATGCCATTGAGTGGTGGTGAGTTGTTGTATAAATTTCCAAAATAAAGACTGAACAACCAACGTTTAATATGTGCAACGAACAACGAATTTTATTCCTCGTCAGTCCAAGCTGCCACGTTGGTGTTTGACACGGGCTTCAGGGGAAGTAGTTGGCGCCACCTATTGGGCACGTTATAGCGCGTGTTACAATATTCTCGCATGAGTGAAACCAGAAAAGCCGTAAGGTAGACTACTATGCCGTATCAAAGCCAAAACTGTTATGCACTGGTACTGCTGTGTGCTCTGGATTGTCTCTGATTAGCGACGGAGAGCGGTGAGATAGTTTATGTAACATCTGTATTTCAATCCGTTTTAGTATTCGGAGCGGTGTGACAAGGAATTTGGAATCGGCCAAAGTTTCGATGGTTGGCCAGATTAAGCGGTAGGTATTCCCGTGACCGTAACTGCTCTTCGGAATAAATGTAATAATTATAATTTGAATGACGATGAATTAATTCTTCCATAATAATTTCTTTGCTTTGATGGTCGAATGCATGCAACTGCCACTAGGTCTCATCACGATACAGACGCACAGACACTTGTGCTGCCCATATCCAATTAACCGAGCTCTCTGTAAAATTGAATCAACACAATTTTTATGGGTTGCTAAGCTTACAGCAAAAGTATCAGTATTCATCAGGATCTGTGATTTATCACAGGGGCGACACGAACGAACTCGCCAGCACTGCAGTCGAGAACATCAAGCAAGCAAGCGAAAAAACCACGCAACCGATGGCAACGGCTAACGTTATATACGAGGATGGCGAGGAGGAGGAAGAGGAGGAGGGACAGGAGGAGGAGGCGGAGGCGGAGGAGGAATCTGAACAGAGTGTGAAGAAAGTCAAGGGAAACGACTTCATGCATTCGCCTCAGCCGCTCCAACCGTCGTCATCTGCTTCTTATGTGTGGAGAATAAATCTGTCGAAAACGGAAAGGCACTGGGCAGGTACGAATGAATGCGTGCGTGCGTGCTTTGTCGTTTGTCCTGTGCGATTACATCGTGTAAGGTCAGATATGCAGAAATAAAATTCGGAGTGGAGAAGTTGGTTGTCAGGATTAGTTGGTGGAATGTTGTTGGATTGTAGTGTTAATCTTTAACATGAGAGGGATAGAGTTGAGGTTATAGCATAGAGTGGGTAACTTAGAAGGCTCATAATGAAACGTTTTTAGCAGTAGAATTATAAAATCCATTTTTTTAAGGATAAAGTCAATTTCAGAGTTCTGTTGTCTGAGTGATCAAGTTTTTTTTACGGCTTAGATAATTGCTTTCTGCTTCCAGCTGGTTTTTAGCTTAGCTGACGTAATCGGATGCAGCTTGTAGAATCGCATGATCGTCACTTCGTCCGTCTGTTCGTCCGTCCGTCCGTCCGTCAACAGTTGGGCACAAATCTTAACCGCTCGACGTACGGTTACGATATTTGGGACGTCGGGGGGATCGTGAAAAGGACTCAGGATGACAAATTTGGGGGTCAAGGGTCAAAGGTCAAGATGTGTAAACGGAGGGGGAATATTTCCCCCTTAAGTTAAGGTATAGGAGGAAATACGGAATTGCGGCACAAATCTTAACGGCTCGACCTATGCTCTTAATATTCGGTGTATAGTGTGATGGGCAGGAAACCCATCACCAGTGCAAAATTGGAGGTCAAAGGGCAGTGGGGGAAAGGTCAGATATCAGACATTTTCTGAGGACATGGCCTAATGGACAGAGTGAAAAACTTTTTTGTTTCAGCGCTGACCTACCATTTTTATCACTTTATTTAAAGGACCATGAAATGTGCTTTCCACTGACGTGCAAAGAGTAAGTGTCTGATAACCTTTTGACCCTCAAGAGGAGGGTTAAACATGGATTCCTGAACTGCCTCAATGATGTCACAGTGTTGTCATATTTATGGCACATCCATAATCTATAAATCCAATAAACCTGGATAGCCGAACGCCTACAGCACAGGCGTCACGGCTCAAAGGTTGTTGGATCGAATCCCATCTGATTTTTTATTATTTACCTGTTTTCTGTATTTTTCTATCTTTATCCATTTAACAATTTCTTTCCAATTAACGCAAATATTTACATGATTTATTTACAACAATTTAATAACAACAAATAATTTTTATAACAATTAATTTTTTATATTGTTTAATAGGGTTAGGGTCACAATGCACCATAGAACAGGAGTTTCAGGCACGTGATTTGTATGAATCAATGGGATTTGGGAGATATGCAGAATGCAGAAGGTTGCTGAAATGATGTGTATGCAACTGCGTATCTGCATATCTGCACCTAACAAAGGTGTCACTACGCACGACTTAATGTTACGTTTATAACCGTAGCAACAGACCTCAGATGAGCCCAGTTGCTATTGTGTTTTTATTGTATCATTTACAGGGTGGTTTCAAGGATTATCGAACATGTTCCTCTGCTGTGATGTACCAAAGATGCTTCTCTTAGCCGGTGTAGATAGACTGGACAGGGAGCTAACGGTGGGGCAGATGCAAGGTGAGTTGCAAACTCCACGACAGATGGCGCCACAAGTAGATTTCTGGGAGAATATCTAACGCTTTTTTACTACAAGTTTTACAGCAGCCACGTTACTCGTATCCTATGTATTCAGATTTGCACTTATAAAAGTTGCAAAGGAAATTAAAATCTGACCATAGTTTCATGAAAAATTTGATGAAATAGTGATAAGAAATAGTGCACGGATTGTGCGCCCATTTACCTCTTTCAAATCACACGCTGTTTACGAATCGCCATTCGTTGGATTTACCCAGAGCTCCGCCCACTTTAAAAATAGTGCTAGCCTTGCGGCAGTGGTATCCTGAGTTGTACAAAGGGGCGCTGCATGCAGTTTGGGTGAGTTGCTGCAGTGTTGATTGTCTCCCACTTTGTCACCTTTTGACGGTGCTGCCACCTATACGTATGCGGGTTCGATTTCAGTCATCAGAGTTTCGGTTTTGATTTTAGGAAAGTTTCAGATGCAGGTTCTTCCACAAGTTGGCCACACCCTACACGAGGATAGTCCTGATAAGGTATTGTCACCATGGTGATTATGTCAGCTACCAAAAGTAATCTCACTTGTATTTATTTTTACCATAATACCAGAGGGGTAGATAATGACAGATGATAATGACGTCACTTGTCATTATCGACCTCTGATAATACTAGTGTCTGTCACAACGTACTACTCTGTGATGATTTGTTAACAGGTTGCTGACCTAGTGGCAACTTACATGGTGCGACACAAGTTTGTGGAGGCAACTGACAAATTCCAGTGGTAGGTTTTGCTTGACATGTGGCGCCATCTCTGAGGAGAATTGGTGTATATTATTACATAACCTCACCTACCTGTTCAATGATTATATCAAGTGCAGAGTGATCTACTGTTCTCTACGGTATGTGTGGCCCAAGAATTTGATCGTCGCTTTTATTTCTAAGGTTTGTTGTATTTCTACACGTACAGTGAAGTTTACGTGGTCGTTATTGAATAACCTATTAATTGCAGGACATTCCCTGCATGTTAGAGAAGTGAAACCACGAACATGAGATTATGAGAACTACCAGGAGAGCCCTTTGCAATCTCTTGGCCCCTCGGCTCCATCTAATTGCACAAACGTCAAGTTACTCCCGAGTTATCGAGGAAGTGGACGTGACGAGAAAAGATTCTGTGATCGTTGTGTTTGTCGATAGGTATAAGTAGTAGCAAGCAAACTGTGAGGTTTGTACACTGACCAAATGGCAACTCGACGTGTGAGGATTATTTTGCACTATTAGTAATGGCGTGAACATATTTATACAATATGTTTGTACAATATGTGTTCATGGTAATAATTTCAAGCTGCTTGGAACATTAGTGAATAAATGCCCTGACATATATGTTGCGATGTCCAATCCTACACGCATGTTAAGCAAGTGTGTGGATAATAAGAAGACGAGTATAGGTAGTTAAAATAATTCAATTGCATAAAATGCAATGTTGATAATATTTTGTTGTGTAAATAAATAGGTGTTCTACCGTTTGGTCATGGTAGTGGAGTTAAACCTCCACACATAGTGTATGTCCAGCGGTGCTGTTAACCAATAAGTCTTCTACCTTTATTTAAAACTAATTATCCATGCAACGAGATATTTACTCGCTACCCTTGTATTTTTGAATTTTTGGGGGTCGAGAAAGCTTTATACAAGTGTTACCGTGGTGCGTACACATTTTCTCGTCTTGCTTTCATTTTCGCATCGCAGTGGCTTTACTGTACACCAAGCTATAGCTCCTAGTCCTTAGTGCAAGCAACGTCCCTTTGTTGGATGGGTAAGCCTGCATTTTGTTGCTTCGTCTTACACCCGCTAACAGTTCTAACCGAAGTAGGCGTCGCAAACCACCTCGACTGAAAACATGTCGCCGCGGGCGGGTGTCGAGTGAGGTTTTACCCTATTACTATTAGTTCTCAGACAGGGCTTCACAACCTATGTAAGTGAATTAGCCACCACTTAAACATGTTACCCTAGGGAACATCACAGGAAAAGGCAACTCGGTGAATCAAGGTCGGAAGAATCGTCAATTTACGATTACTATTTGTCGACGGTTTGTAATTTGTTCTTTGAGTAAGGAGGGTAACATTGTAAGGAAATCTTACAGTGCAAGTATGGTATAATAGTACCGCGAGCCTATGCGCAATCATTATGGATTGCTTTACGGTAGAGCTTAAAGCTGGGTTTACACTACTGACTTTATGTTGTCAAGGTGGCGAATTGGACCAATTTCGCAACAACATATAACCGACAATCGGCAGTGTAAACGTAAAAGTTGCGTGCCCAACTGGTCAATAGTGACTAGTTGGGAGATTAGAACATGTTCTATTTTTCGCCAACTCGGTGTTGCCGATATGCGAAATTGGTCGAACTCGCCAATTTTACAACATAAAAATCGGTTGTGTAAACTCAGCTTAACTCTACCATGTCTGATCAGCATGCGGGACTCACGTCACTACACAACGTCCAACGTCTTTCGATGTAGCGACCTGGTTTTGTTGAAGCTAGGGTCTACTCGTATATCCCTTCGCTCCCGCTGCTGGTGTGCTCGTGTGGGCATGAGTGAAGGTTACACGGGTAGAGGTAGATACCGTTAGTAACGCACACGGCGGACATTCGTTGTAGTACAACAAAAACTTTGTTTTTTGTTTACAATTTATTACGACCGATTTCTGTTAAACGAGTCGTTTTTATATTCTTCTTCCAGCGAACATGGACGATTTTTGTATTGTTTTGGTTGTTGTCTGCTGTAGCAGCTTCATGCAAGTTAAACTAAAATCTTACTTACCTGGTTTATCAAGCTCCGTTGATATTGCTGTTGAGGTGGCATATCTCTCTCTCTCTCTCTCTCTCTCTCTCTCTCTCTCTCTCTCTCTCTCTCTATCTCTCCCCCTCTCTCTCAATCTCTCTCACTCTCTCCCCCTGGCCATTCATTTACGATAGGCATCGTCATTCTGAATGTCACATGATATTATATGATATGATATATGATCACTAATGGCACACCGATTGTACAGTGAGGCAATCTATTACTGTTGTAATCTATTTGCGTGCAACGTACACGACCCATGTTCTGACGTAGACAAATCATTTGGCTTGATTACCTGATGTGTTGGATTGCGAAGACAAGGTTATTACAAGCAAACGTTTAGAGTTTCTAGTCACTGCAAACGACCAAGTTTTGGTCAAAACCAAATGCTTTTGTTGTATTACAACGAACGTGCCGTGTGCGTTGAGAATACGTTGAGCGGCTAAACTAGTAATGATTTCTTGGACAAGTAAGGTGGGCATGATGAATGATAAAAGAAATGCGTTAGGTAAATGAATGCCTCCCTAGTCAATATTTAATTTCCTAATAAAAGTTTGAATAATGCAAGACTTTTGTTTATCAAATATTTTATGCATATATCAGTAGTTAGACGGCTGCACATCCGTACATCTGTACCTCATGTGACTTTTAATATTATATACACAAATAATAATATATCATGAATACAGACTGGATGGCATTATAGGAAACCCGGACACGTTTTAGTCAAATAATAGGTTTATTTATAACATATACAGAAATAAAGCAGTCGGCGCATATACCTCGATAAAAACTTACAAAATGCATTCCCGCGGCTTTTTTCTGGCAGCTGACGTCATCGATCATTACGTTACACGCGTATTACATACACGTACAAGCCAAAAACACACGAGAGTACGGGCATTATTCTCCACGGGCGGCAGGTGTGTATTGTTTTTTATACCTAGATAACTACCCTTTCTGCCTTTTGTGTCAACAGATGGCGTAACGTACGGCGGTCTATCAGCTGAGCTGTCATTGTCCTGGCCTGCTGGTGGAGTTTCTGGTATGGTTATTACTTTCACACTCCGGATATGTGTGGAAACGGATTCCTCTGGTTCCGGCTGGTTGATTGCCGTGTCTACGACGTCGTCTGTTCCTTGCTCAGTAGTCAATCTCGATAATAAATCCGCATTTGCATTTGACGTGCCTCTTCGGTAAACAATGGTTGATGAATACTCACTAATTATCATCGCCCATCTTAATAACTTGGGGTTCTGCAGCTTCGTCAATGTTAGTAAAAACTTCAGAAGTAAATGATCACAAAATATAGTAAACATACTCCCAGCTAGAAAATGACGACTCTTCTGTAAGGCGTAAATTATGGCAAACGCCACTCGTTCAACCACTGGCCATTTCGACTGTGTGGGTGTTGATTTAGCACTTAAATATAAAATGACAACTTCTCTCCCCTGTGCATCCTTCTGCGAGAACACTGCTCCGACGGCATACGCGCTAGCATTTGTGTACAAAAAATAAGGTTACTTAATTTATGGGTAGGCGAGAATTGGTGCAGTCAGTAACGCCTTTTCTAATGCATCAAAAGCATCCTGCGTTTCGTCATTCCACAAAAAACGGGCGTGTTTTTTGGTGAGATTTACTAGAGGAGCGGCGACTTTTGTGTGATCTATAGGAATTTCCCATGCCGAGAAAGCCACGTGTGTTTGACTGTCCTAGGCTCCTTCATTTGTTGAATGGCGGCTATCTTACGTGGGTCAGGTGACACGCCAGTTCTGGAAATAATATTGCCCAGGTAACTAACAGACTGTTTGAGAAAGACACATTTACACGGATTCAGTGTTAACCCTGCCTGGCGCAGGCGGTCAAATACAGTTTGTATATCTAAAAGATGCTGGTCAAACGTTGGGGAGTAATTGACAATATCATCAATGTACGGGATTGCAGATTTATCCGTAATCCCTTGTAACACGTTATTTAAAAGTTGTTAAGACACTCGGCGAATTCCGGAGTCCGAATGGGACGTAGTGATATATATACGTAGCTTTATGCGTAATTATAGCGGTCTTATGTTGATCATCTGGATGTACAGGTATCTGAAAATATCTGCTTTTCAAATCTAAGGTGGTAAAGTACTGTGCATTAGCCAACAACGCTAAAATGTTGTCGATTCTGGGCAAAGGGTGAATTATTGCCTCTGTCACATTGTTGAGAGCGCGGCAGTCCACAACCAGTCTACCCAGCTTTGAGTCTTTTTTCTTAACTATGAAGACGGGGGAACTCCATTCGCTAGAAGCCGAAAGTTTTAAACCAGATTGGATGGGATGGGATGGGGTCGGATGCGATGGGATAGAAGACGATGGGATGGGATGGCATGAAATGGCATGGGTGGCATGGGGTGGCATGGCGTGACATGCGATGGGTGGATGGATGGCTGGCTGCATGGATGGATGGATGGATGGATGGATGAATAGATGGATGGATGGATGGATGCATGGATAGATACATAAATAGATAGATAGTTGGTTTTTGCGGTATTTTCCTTTTAACCAAGTGGTCACCAACTGAGCACTTTTTCCCCTGCTCAATTATAGAATTGCGCTCTGTTTCTTCCCAAAATGTTTTTTTGTTACTGTTTTCTTTTCAGTTGCATGAAATATTTAACTTCAACTGTGTCACTTACATGACGTTTATATTTTAAGGCACGATTTTGTGGTTGTACGGGTATTAGTCTGCTAGTATATATAAAGTTATTCCGACGAATTAGTTCGTACCGCATACTAAAGAAACTCCGCAGCCTAGAAGGAAAAACTAAAGGATTATTTTCAGAATCAGCACGTTCCTGGCGGAGGTGGTTTCTGGCTGAAACACGTTTAAAAAAGATAAAAAAGTTAAATAATTCATAAAAATTGCTACTTCAATCAATAGAATGGCGGTGGTACAGATTAACGTAACCATCTCTCCTCTTAACGTCTTCTCTTTCCTCCGCCGCCTCCCGCTACCCGGCTCTGCCTCCCCCCTCTTCACTATGTCCTTTTCCTTTATCTCTTCCCTCTTGTCCTCCCTCCGTTGTACATCTTCCTCCTCCTGCCCGTCTCTCCGCCTAGCTCGCTACCACTTTCTCTCACACTCTCTCATCTCTCTGATGCTCGCCTCGCCTCTTTCTCTCTCGCCGCTCTTCTCTGCTCATTTCTTTCTTTATCTTTTAACCCATATCTTCTCTTTACGTCCTTTCTCTTTTGATCTTACTGCACAGTTATTGTCTACTCTGGCTGTCTGTCTGTCTTTCCGCCTCTCTTCTTTCTCTCTCGGTCTGCTCTTGTCTGCGGCTCTGCTCTCTCTATTATATATATATATATTTGCGCTGCTCTCTCTCATCTCTCGGGTTGGGAGGGAGAAGAAGATGCGGAGACCTCTCTCTCTCTCTCCTCTCTATATATATATATCTGTCTCTCTCTGCTCCAGCTCCTCCCCCTCTCGGCCCTTTCTCTTGCTAGCTATCGCTTTCTTACTTATGTTCTCTCTCTATCTCTCTTTCTCTCTCTCTGCTCTGCTCTCTCTCTCTCTCTCTCTCTCCCTCCTCTCTCTTCTTTCTCTATCTCTCTCTATCTCTCTCTCTCTCTCTCTCTATCTCTCTCTCTAAATAACTTCCTCCTTAAATGGTGTTACTGCGATTTCTCATACTATATAAAGGTTCTTTTATTTATCACGGAGTCAGTACGTAGATTTTGCTACTCGCCAAATTTCTTATCAGTTCAGTTCGTGTGCACTATAAAACCCAGCCATCACTTATGATAGCATTATCGCACCTGTCATTTCACGTTGACTCACTCGATGAACGCATGTCTACCTGCTACCCTCGGTCACGTAGCCTCAACTGCTGACTATTCTTATCAAACATCTGTATTTACGACTAAAAAATCAGCTGCAATGATCTGCTTATAGAGTGTGTGTATATGCGCGCGTCCCCTATGCTTTCTTTAAACGCATGTGCGCGTGCGTGTATCCGCGGGGGGTGTTGGAGTTTGTATGTGCGCGCGTGCGTGCGTGCCTGCATGCGTGCCTACATGCGTTCGGGCATGCGTGAATGTGCCAGCGTGTGCGGGTAAATGCAACTGTGCGTGCGTGCCTGCAAGCGTGCCGACATGCGTTCGGACATGCGTGAATGTGCGTGCGTGCGCGCGGAGGTGCAAGTGTGCGTGCGTGCGTGCGTGCGTGCGTGCGTGCGTGCGCGCGTGCGTGGATGTCGTGACTACGTATACGCTGTCATTTCACCAAGTGGCGAGATAGATAAGAGATGTTTTGCAAAAAGAAATGCGAAATTTATAAGCCTACGTGTATAGAAACACGTTTCCGCGGCGTGGCACGCTTGCAAATAATAATTATTCTTTTCGTCTTGCTCTGAAAAAAGCAAAGCGACATTTGAACATTGTTTGTTTTACAACTCTTGCGTTTCTGCTTAAGAACCCCCGTTATCACATCATGCGACTCGTATGCGTACAGACGCGCCCATTTTGTGGTATTTTGCTGCGTCAAGCTGAAATCTTACCATAGAGCAAAGCCAAGCAGTAATCTGAAGTTGATAACGTACACAGTACACAGAGTTCTGATAACAGCATTCACTTACCTAGATATAGTTTTTACATTTCGATATTTCTCAGTAGAATGCACGTCACATCGTTACCAACTTGTCCATAATCTATATATATAAAGTCGTTCAGCCGAATTA